TAGAAAAAAATTAGCCGGGCATGGTGGCACATGCCTGTAGTCCCAGCTACTCGGGAGGCTGAGGCAGAAGGATCGCTTGAGCCCAGCAGTTTGAGGTTGCTGTGAGCTAGGCTGACGCCACGGCACTCTAGCCCGGGCAACAGAGTGAGACTCTGCCTCAAAAAAATAAAAAATAAAAAAATAAACTGGTTATATAAATAACAAAATATAAATTCTGAGTAAAACAAAGGCATGGATCACCTTCATTTTTTTCAATAGCCCATAGAATGGTAACATTTGGAGGAAAGACATGTTGTGTGTGGTGTTGGGTAGGGTTGGGGGTTGTGGGAGCTAGCAGGGACATATTTGCAAAGGAAAAGTGGAATGCTTTCAATAGTCTCCAGCTTATTATATGGTTTGTATGTCAACCAGTGATTTATAGAGCGAGAAAACTACGTTAAATCTGCATTCCTACTCAACAACTGGCAAATGAGCTGCTGCTCTAAAAAACTGAGAATATCAGCCTTGGAAGAGAAGCCCCTTCTTCCTTCCTCTCCAGCCAAACAACTTAACCTCTCATTACTTGCTTGGTGGACCAGCTGATGGTAAAGGACCTAATTATATTATTTTTTTTCCAATGTCTATATGCAATGAAGTTACGGAAACCTGATGGGATTCCTACCTCTGGGTAGGAGGGAGTAATGCCATGCCTTGACGTACAGTGACTTGAACATAGTAGAGTGGCAATAAATATTTGTGAAATGAATGAATATCCTTTCTGAGGAATCGGAAGATAAGAGGGTGTGATGAGCAACAGCATCCTGCCATCCTGATGACTATACTTAATGGCTTGGCATCCCTGGAGTTTCCCTAATATACCTCATAAAAGTTGTTCAACACTGAAAAAAAGTAGGGGGTAAAAGATATGAGATTTGAAGTTTACACATCTCTGAGACAAGTCAGAATGAACTAGACAGGTTATAGGAAGAAACAAAAGTAGAGAAAAAGTTGTCAAAGGCTAAAAAATAAGCCCAGATTAGAGAAGCAGTCCCACCTTCCAACCAATGCCGGCATTCTTATAATAGGGGAAATTATCGCAGATCCAGCGGTAAATCTCACTGAGGGTCATCTTCTTGGCTGGAGAGGAGTTGATGGCATAGGTGATGAGGGTGGCATAGCTGTACCGTGGTTTGCCATCCTGGTGGACTGCTGCCTCGTCTTTGCTCAGGGTGGCATTAGGATCTGTGGGTGAGCCTGGTGAACACTTGCGGCTGCTCCCTGGAGGCCCAGCCTGGGAGGCACTCCCGAGCTTCTCAATGGTAGCTCGGAGGGTCAGCTGGGGGAGCCAGTCTATGGAGGTGAGGCTACTCTCTAGGTCAGAAGCCATGGTACTTTTGGGTTCTGCAGAGAAGAGGACAAAGGGGAGAAGTAACGCTGGGGGCAAGTAATACTCAAATCGTAGTGTTTAAGGGAAGTAGAGTCTCTTCCCATTATAATTCTCACAGGAGACCCATGGGATGGTCCTCAACCAGGTGTTCCAAAGCCCTCCAAGCAAATGCATCATCATCTACCAGATGACAGACTGCTGCTTATCCTACATCTTAACGTGGAGCATGGCCAAGAGGCCTTTCCCTTCATGTAGGACCAAAAGAGAGATCAAACTTCACATTGAATTGAGCTATTTCCTCAATTCACCTACTATAGCCCTATGGGCAACATAGTATTTTTAAACTATATAGAAATTAAGTTTAAAAAAAAACCCACTTAGATAGCAGGTAAAATTAGCCGAAGTCCATTCTCCAATTACATGATGCTTGTTATATTTACATACAACAACCACAGATAGATAAAACAAATGTACATGTAAAGAAAAACAGCATGCGGCCGGGCGCGGTGGCTCACGCCTGTAATCCTAGCACTCTGGGAGGCCGAGGCTGGTGGATCGCTCAAGGTCAGGAGTTCGAGACCAGCCTGAGCAAGAGTGAGACCCCATCTCTACCAAAAAAAATAGAAAGAAATGATCTGGACAACTAAAAATACACATATATAGAAAAAATTAGCCGGGCATGGTGGCGCATGCCTGTAGTCCCAGCTACTCGGGAGGCTGAGGCAGAAGGAGTGCTTGAGCCCAGGAGTTTGAGGGTGCTGTGAGCTAGGCTGACACCACGGCACTCACTCTAGGCAGGGCAACAAAGCGAGACTCTGTCTCAAAAAAAAAAGAAAAACAGCATGCATAAACACAAACACACATTAACGAGGCACATACCAACACTTTTAAAGATGTTTCATATTAGATATATTATGAGCACTTGCCCTTTTTATCCCACACACATGTGCATGTGAGGCATATTAGATATATCGCACGCATAAATTATTTATAACAACCAGCAAAGGACAGACACAAGACAGACACATAAACAGTGGGCCACATACACAGAGATCATGATTAGGTATAAAGCATACATTACCAACAGAGCACAAAGTCACACACAGAGGTAATAGATCCTGAGTGCACAGCTGCCCTCACACCTGTAAAGCTATCCCTTGCATGCTCCCGCCCACAGACACCAACACCAGGAAGAAGTCATCAGCAAGGACCTCCCACCTCTCAGCCCGCTGGGCTTCACTGAGCCGGGAGACACCCAGCTGTGTGTGCACCAGTAACAATCAGATAGCCTGGCTAAAAATAGCCACACTGGGGCTAAGAGCTGGCTCCCCTTCTCCGCCCTCCTCTTCCCTCCCTCCTTCCCAGCCAGGCACGCAGCTCGCTGCACCTCCATGCAAACTCCTAGAGCTGCCAGACCGCCCACGCCTGATGTTTGCACACCCTGCTGCCACCCACACCTCCCGAGCGCTCTTGCTGGCAGAGAGGTATAGCTAGAGTGACGTCTTGGTGGGGGAAGGTGAAGAATGAGGGATGATATCTGTATTGCAGGGTCTGTAAAGGCTGGCAGGAACCACTAGGTAGCCATTTGGCACTCCCCTAGAGCTGATGCCAGCAACCCCCTAAGCTCTTGCTGCCTAACAGGTTTGTGCCTGTACAGCTGCCAGATTCCAGCCAGCATTTCTTCCTCAGTCCCACCAAAGCACTTCTCTTGAGGAGCCAGGGCTAGATTGCCTCAGAGTTCAGAATCCTGGACAGTAACATATCATGTGGGTGATCTCTAAAATCCACAGCCAGATATGTGCACAAGAATATACACACAATCACACACAGATCCACACACTGTGCAGTTCAAACTTCAATCCCAGATATGACCGCGGCCCCCTTTCCTAACCCCAGCACATCTTCCAGACTCCTACCTCACTCTTCTGTCCTAGGAAGTGATTCCCCTGCCCTTGACACTTGCCCCTTCCTCCTAAAGGTCAGCATTCTCACTCATTCTCCTCTCCTCTGCAGTCCCACCCATGCAATCTGCATGTACACACAGGCAGCCAGCCCTGTGCTCCTAACCAGCAACACGCCCAGTCCACAAGGCTGAAGGAAGTGCCTCAGGGGCCTGGGCAGCAAGAGACCCAACTGTAACCCAAGAATTGTTAGGAGAAAAAAAGGCGGGGGAGACATGTTTATAAATAGCATCAGGCAATGAAGAGTTTCCCCTTTATCCTTAGCTCCTCTCCCCACCATCCTCCTTTTCATCCTACTACTACCACCTTGTCCTGAACCATGGAAACTTGGAAACTAATAAGAACACTTAATCATTCCAGGAGCCTCACACCTTCCAGCACTACTAAGTCAAAACACCCCAGCCTCCGGGCTACAGCAGGGTGCCCGTGGCATGATCACAGTTCCGTAGGTGGGTCGTCGCAGCAGAACAGTAGCATGCCAATGGGCAGTTTTTCAATGACCAGGGTTCTCCTGGGTCCTCCCCAGATGGGAGGTCTGTAAAAAAGTTTTACCCCATTCCCTATTATCTCAAAGATCCCTAGGAAATCTCCTCTTAAGAGCACAGAGGCCTTTTAGTTGATTTTTTCATTTGAAACAAATCTCCCAAGATTGGATGGGGCATGAGAGTAGATTTAAAGTGTTTAGAGGGCTTACAGAACCCACTTGGCACATGCCAATCACAGTGAATTCCAGAAAGAGAAGCACTCTCAGCCTTTTGCTAGTTGTTCTATGCCCTTCCCTGCCCTTACTTACCCCAGCACCAGGTTAGGACACTGAGGTTAAATTTAACCTTTCCCTAGCATCCTCCCAGTCAGCCCTCCAGATACAGCCTCAGCACCCAAAATATAATCCAATCTTACCAGCTACAAGAAGCCTGCAGCCTCTGATCCTTCGATCTCGCTGCACCATTCTCCTTTAACCCATCCCACCTCCTCACCCCCTTCACTTCCCCATTCATGAAGGGCAGCCCAGTGTGTAGACCTTCAGAGACTGAGGTTCCTTGGTACTATTCACAACCTGAAACTGAGTGTCCCTAACCATCCTGATGAAGTCTGATGCCTCAGTTTCCCCCTTCAATAAAAGGGATGAAGTCACATACTCCGCCAGAGCTTCCTCCCTGGAGGGAAGTGAATGAAGCTTAATGAGCTCGTCGTGGCTGCCTCACATTCCACGCTCCCCAAAATAATGGCAAGAGGCTAATGTTCAGGGCTATTATTAGAAAGGCAAACAAGAGGTACTTCCATTTCTCAGTCCAACCAACCTAGTTACCCAGACCTCTCTCTCCAGGTGGGCCTCGTGCCACCAGGACTGGGCAGAACCTGAGTCAGGCCACATTCTTCTCTGCGTGCTGGAAGACTGAAAGGAAATACCCATAGAAACCGGGAAAGGCAGCCAAAGGGCAGGCTCCATCACATCCACGGGACATCTAATGAAGACTACAGTACTGTGAGAAAGGCAGAGAAAACCAGACAGAAAGACCTTCTGAGGGAGTAAAAGACCAATCCCGGATGAAATCTATGAGATCCAAAATACTGGGCACAGTTTTCTACCCATTTTATCTGACAGGCCAATAATTGTTCTCTGTACAGTGCCAACGTCAGGTATTGAGGAGTGATAGGTTCCTGCCCTGTACAGAATGTGAAAGCTAAGAGAGCAGACGCTAAGTTCACCACATAAGGAGTCAGGCTTTCTGGGTTTCAATCACAGCTCTACTACCTACTGGCTGTGCAACCTCAGACAAGGTACTTGACCTCTCTGTTCCTTGGTTTCTTCATCTGTAAAGTAGAGATGATAAATGTACCTACAAAGGGTTGCTATGAGTATTACCTCGTTAATATTTTTAAAGCACTTAGTAAGTGCCATATAAGTATAGCTATTATTATTTTTGAAAGGGGAAAAAAGAGAATACTAGAAATTTAAAATTAGAAAACTGACAGACCATAGAGGTAAGAGTAGAAGCAAAAAACCTGCAATGGTTTGGGTTGCAAAGGCTGCACTGAGTCTGCAATGGTTTTCAGGACGTCAGAATCTCAAACTTTTCCTTTGGAGATAACATCACTCCAGTGCCACTGCTAGGATCAGGAAAACTCCAAGGATGAGGGAATGGGGGAATATCATCTCTTATCTTTCGGCAGGAACTAGTCATAAGACATGATCTGGAAAATAGCACTCTCTGAATCACAGTTAATTCAACCCAACAGCCACCTGCTTCTAACTATTTCCACAAAGGCATAAAGCATTAGGGAAACTCAGTCCCAGCAGGGCCAGTTAAACAGTGTGGCAGTAGTATACCTGTGTTGTGATACAGTTCACTCTGAGCCATTCAAGAAGGTGCACTCCAGCATCTGGCAAAGTACTTTGTAAGAAACAGGCTGTGTTACACCAGAGTGGTCTCTTTTTTAAAAGGTGGAAGAAGGAGTTCTGCAGTTAGGAGTCAAGGGTCCTCATCCTTTTGAGACTAGAGGTATCAGAAATGAAGCTCTCTTATTAGATCTAGAAGAAGTGGTCCCAGTCGGAGACTGGGCTGCCCTGCTGCTTGAGATAACTATTACACACAGTCATAAAGGCTCCCACTGGCCAGCAGGAGGCCAATCCTTTCCTCTTAGCTGGGCATCCTAACCACCACCTTCTCCAGGTCCTTACGCAGGGGCACCTGCTTCTAGAGGCCTACCAAAAACACACAATTCTAGGTAACTGGAGTATAGTCTGGAAAGCACATATTTACCTATCGCCACAGACATACCCACACAAAACACAGAGATAGAGCCACAATCACCTGAATTAAGGAACATAAGCACATTGTTGCTCCCTATCTCATAGACAACCACTAACAGGTAGCTTCCAGGATCACGTGGATGTACTTAGGAACTTAGGCAGCCCACCCATGGCCCACAAAGAGAGAGAAGAAAATATGAAAGCCCAAGTCGGATGAAGCCTCCCACTTAACCTTGCTGTGATACAGAAGAGATGGTATCTCCTAATGGCCAGGTAGGAAAGCACCCAGCCAGTGACCTTAGGTGGAAAGGCAAAGTTCTACAAAAACACAGTCCAGGCTTTGCTAGGAGGATTTCCTGGCACCTTCTTCCTGCTTTTTCTGAAGATTCTGGAGTTTGATGATTCCCTATCTTATGAAAGAAAACTTTAACGCAAGATTCCAAAGACCCAGACTGAACAAGAAACAGGAAGGGAGAGGATGAAACTATTAGGTGCTTTTCTAGATGGAAACTCTCATATACTCTCAGAGGTCAAATCTCCCCAGTGGTCAACTTATTTAGATGGAAGACTGGAAGGAAGCTGAGCAGCAACCCTCCTATCTTCCTATCCAAGATCTAATTTTTTTGAGGAACTGTCAGCAAAGGACAGGAGTCTTACAGGAGACTGAGGCAGTGGTACAGGGTCAGCATTAAGGAAGAACTTCAACCCAGGAACTGCCATTCCCCTGTATACTTTCTTCTTGCCTTCAGGACATGTGGGATTCCCATTTTCCCTGTAAGTAGAGGCGTACATCCAGCTAGGAACAGAATGTCAGGAGAGGAGGCCTCTTTGTGTCTGAGATACGATGAGTGCGGACAGATCGCTTTTCTTGTCAAGGGAGCAGTAATCACAGTGGGCTGGAGAGAACATCTCTGCAGACACTAAGCTGACCTCGGCATGCCCTACACAAGGCCAGGACACAAGTTGCCACCTTGACTTTAGTGAGGGCCCACTTTTCAGGTGAGAATGGCCAAGGATGGATGCTGGTCTGGGTGTCTGGCTGGGTCGCATCAATCATCACTACACAGTAGGCATGGAGTTCTCAAAATGCAGCCACTTTCTGATATCCCTTTGTCCTTAGCATGGAAACATCCACTTCCCCAGGGACTTCAAATGAATCCCATCCCTGGTGGTCCCCAAATACTAAGAAATCCGTTTCTTGGAGCCTCTGCAGCAGGATGTGGGGTGGAATCCAAGAGCTTCCCCAGAACACATTTCCCAGAGGATTCTGAGTTATCACTCTACCCTCCCCAACAATGAAACCCAAGATCCATCATCTCAGCCCCTACGCCCACTAGAGCTTAGAGATGGCAGAGAGAAAATGAAAGAAAACACTAACCTGTCTCCACCGCTCCCCCTGCAGAGGGAGGGAACCACCTGGTACTGGACTTTGGGGTTGGAGGGAGTCCCCTCTTCAGAGGCAGATGACAGGTCTCATCCTCAGTGGCTCTTCCTGTACCTGGCTGAGCCTCCCAAGCTGGGGAGGGGAACTGGGTCCCCTGAGGCTGAGGAGCCAAGGGAGGAGGAGGAGGGGGAGGAGAAGGAGGTCCTACCTGGGGAAGGTGGCACACCCCCCACACCCTGCCAGTTACCCTGGGGAGGAGGGGAGGAGCCTCTCCCAACCAGGAGTTGTCTCCTCCCCCTTGGGGGAGTCCCCCTCCCCCCCAAACTGGCTCTGTCTGGGGTGGAGGGCTCTTTCTGTCTGCCGGAGATCTGAGTGGAGGGGCTCTACCCCGTTCCACTGTCTAGGTCCAAGGAAGTTGGGGGGAGAGGTCTTCCCCTCTCCGGAAGGCTGAAAGCCGATTCCTCTTCTTTCCCTGGCGCGTCCTTTGCTCCCGAACGTAAGGACTCCTCTGCCCTGTGAGTACTGGCTGGGATGGAGGGTGCCTACTCCATAGGCAAATCCCCCTTTCTCTTTGCCTCGAAAGTCCTGAACTGTTGAGAGTGTGTGTTTGGAGAGGAGGCGGCACGCCGGGGTGGTCTCACGCTGCTTCCTGTAGGAAGGCTCACCCCTTCCTACTTCTGGGGGTCTCCTCCCCGGCCAGTATGGGGGTTTTCCTCGCCTCTAGAAGGAGAGACGCGTCCCCTCCAGGGGTCTCTTCTTTCCCTCGCCCGAGCGGTAAGGAGTGGTAAGGGTCTTCTCTCCAACGGGGGAGAGGCTGCTCCCGTCCCCGCTCCCGCCTCCGCTCCTGGGGTGCCCCAGAGGGTGGGGTTTTCGTACTCCCCGCTCTCCCTCAGCTGGCCTGGGCAGCAGGGTCCGGGAGGCCGCGGCTCGCGACTCCCGTCACTGGCTACTGTGGCGGCAGCGCCTCCACTAGTCCCGTCCCGTCCGGTCCGCTCCCTTCAGCGCGTGGGGCTCCCCGCGCTGCCACCTCTCGGGCTCCGGCCAGTCCGGGCTCCCGAGGAGCCAGAAGGCGGACGGACAGTGTCAGGGCTCGGCTCGGGCTCGGGCTCGGCTCGGCTCCGCTGCAGGCCCCGGCTCCTCCCCGGCCTCCGCGCCGCACTCCGCGCCCCTCCCCCTCCCCCGCCCGCCCGGCCGCCGCCGCCGCCGCCTCCCGGCGCGGGTTAAGGAGGAGCCGGGCGGCGCTGAGCCGCGGGCCGCTCCGCCGGGAGAGCCGCGGCCGCGCTCGCGGAGAAACGCCGCCGCGATGCCCAGCGGGGACACGCGCCGCCGCTCGCGCACCTGCAGCCGCCACCCGGCCGCTGGGCTCCGAGCAGCTAGCTGTGTACCCAAGATGACAAGCCACTGCTCTCCATCGGGAGAGTCTCGTGCGCATCTTAAGCTGTCAATCCAATTGACACAGTAACTCGGGTACACTGGCCTGTTTTTCGTTCTGTTGCATTCTGTATGCACATGAACATTCCCAGTTGTCCCAGGAATGTCTTTGGTGGGCTTCTCTTACCCCCAATTTATAAAGGGTCATGGGGATTGGGACGAAGTTTATGTTACCCTGATATCATCCTGGAGTTCAATAAATGCTTCCTGAATGAGTGGATACATAAAGGGATAAATGAGTGTGTAACAGAGAAAGAAACATCAGAAGATCAAGCTCCTATTCCTTGTTCCAGCTTTGTAAATTTGTGCAAGGCCCTTGTTCTCCGCAGTCTTGGTCAGTAAAGAGGGAACCTTGATACTCGGCCTGCTTACCCAGTAAGGCTATTGCAAGGACCAAATGAGATAATTTGTGTGAAAGTGCTTTTTAAACAGTCCAGTATACAAAGGATACAAAATATGATTGTTCAGTTCACTTCACAATCCTATAAAATACCTTATCCTGAGTATCACAGAATATAGAATGTTCTCATAGTACATCCTTCTGCCCCTTAGAGAATAATCCTCACCAGAGATGGAAAATGCCACCAGGGAGCCCATCTCCACTTTTACTCCTGGAGTCACATTATTCTGCTATAAATTCTTATATATTTCATCCTCTGCCTTATTAAACTTTCTCAAACTACTCTACTTTCTATCACATAAGATAATATGAAGACAAAAATATTGTTCATAAAATATTTGAATTGCCCCCAAAAATGACTGCGTACTCAAGAGTACACTTGATGACTGACTACATTTCACCTTTAAGTAGTAAAGTCTTTTGTCTTTGGCAAAATATGTACCATATTTATTTAAATTAGATGAATATATTATAATTGGATTATGTTCATAATGTGCCAGGCATTGAGCTGAGAACTTTGCATGTGTTATCACATTTGATTCTCCTAGGGATCCCATAAGACACTATTATTATATCTCTTTTAAGGATAAGAAAACTATGACTTAGAGATATTGACTATGTCTGAGTTCACATAATTAATAAGTAGCAAAGTCAGTACTTAAACTCAAATCCTAATGACTCCAAAACCTGGCTCTTAATCTCTATGTCATTGTCTGGAGTTGTCACAATGAAAAATCATCCTCAAATTTAAAAGCAGTAAATGGGCCAGGTGCGGTGGCTCACGCCTGTAATCCTAGCTCTCTGGGAGGCCAAAGAGGAGGGCTGATTGTTTGAGCTCAAGAGTTCGAAACCAGCCTGAGCAAG